ACACTGCGGTAACCACTGAACGAAGATGAGGAGGTATACGAGGAGTGGGCTCGTGAGACCTACGTCGGCGGTATGTCCGATTATTCGTAGGGTATGTGTGTAATATGATTTCTTTCAAGTCCATTATTCTACGGCCGACACAATGACACGGAATAACGAGTCAAAACGTACCGGGTGGTTCCAACGCGACTTAAATTGTATTATGTTTTACTTTTTAGGTGATATATATGTATTGTTTGGTGACAAGCTTTAAACATTTTAAAGAAACCGACTTTGCGGTATATGCACGCATTGCATGTATAGATTTTGACTGATCAAATTAGGCCCATAATAAATTGTTTAACTGTTTTTTTCGTTAGTTGGGATTTCGACATATCATTTAAATAATTATTTTTTTTATAAATAATTAGAGGCATCAATTCCCCATACATGTCTAATAATAAATTCATTGATGCTACATTCCATGAAATTACTTATGTGCATGGACAATTATTTTAATATTTATTTTAACAAGAAGTAATAAAAAAACCGATACAGCATTTCATAAGACTCTTGTAACGAGAGTATAAATAGGCTTTTAGAAACAAGTAATATCTCGCCTAAAAGAGTTAAAAGTGTAGTATTCGTTAATTAAGTTATATAACTGATTTTTACGGATAATTTCTTTAATACATATTTATTGTAAACTGTATGAGTTGTAATTAATTTATACAAACACCAAGAATATGTTTAAACAATTTCAATATTATTCCAACGCCAACCCGACTTTTTTTTTTTAAAAAACATGTTATTTATCAGGAGATGCAATTTTCTGCAAATCTGTAAAATTTTAACTTTTAGCGTAATAGTATATCAGTAGCAAGTATTGATTTTCAATATGGTAAAAATAAGTTTTTAAATTATTTAAAAAATATTCTGATGAATTTATTTTTATGAGTAAGACTTTCTACGGTCCCCCCATATGATCTCCAATTAAAAAAATGAGCTGTATGTAAACTTCGCCAAAATGACCCTTTTCCTATAAGTCCATAAGTAAACTGCGACAAAAGTGATAAAATACATTTTAAAAACCGATTTTACTGATTGCTTTACTCATGGTGCAATATTTTCTTCCATAAATCATGCTTTTGAGCTGAAAACCAGGCCATGTTTTAGCATCTTAAAATAGTAGGTGTGTATATTTATTTAAAAAAATGGCAAAACACCTGATACAAGAAAACCATACCTGATACATAACATACAAGAAAAAGCACACAGAGCTTAACAAAAAAAAAAATCTTGAACTAAACAGTTTGTTATTAAAATATTATTTACCAAATGAAGAGCACAGGGGAAGAAGGGTAATAGTCCATTTATGAAATTATTTTTTTCAAATAGTTTTTTTCAATATATGCCATTCATTTTTTAATTTATGTGAATAGATTATTTAAATCAATACATTTTTTAGTATAATAAATTATTATATTTATTATAAATTATTTTATTTAGGACCCAATATATCTTACAATGGCGTCGCATAAGTACAAAGTATTTCTAACATTTTTACAATGTACTCGGAGCTATTAGATATAAATATATACCAACAGATAACAAATATAAAGTCCGAGTTATAAATATGTACGTTCAAAAACACATTATTATAAAACTATTATCTAATTATTGTCACTTGATCGCGTGTAATCTAAAAAATAATAGCTATAAAATGATTGAATGCGCACAATTAACTAGAAAATATACTCGCAGGATGCTGTTTCTTACTAAGTAATATGTAACGTCCGGATAGAGTTTAGGCTTTATAATACGTTAACTTCAACCCTAAAAAATATCCTTTTTGAAATACAATATCCCACAAGAGGTAAATAAATCCTTTTTCGTCTTTCTGATTTAATGAATATAGTTATGCTCGTAAGTGCAGTTGCTACAGTTATGCCATACTTGCAATGCCCATCTGTGCGTGAAATATTATATCTATTTTTAGCTTCGATGCAGAACTGAGATAGTATTTTATTTACAATAATGTATTTTTATTATTTTTTTTTTGTATCTGTACCCACGATACTCTTAAACCGCTGAACCAATTTCTTCGAGTAGTAACTCTATGGATCATAAATCATACCTTTAAGGTACGTTATTAAAACAAAAACTAAACAAATTCACCCCTTCCCCTTCAAAATCAAGAAAAATACCAAAAAAATATATATATGTATCAACTTTAATAATTGCGATGCTCTATAACTTTTTTTAAATATAGTTGAATAAAGAAGAAGGGATATAATTTTTTTCTTAATTTCACTTTTTCAAGCAAAGTTTTAGGGATTTAATATCTGTAGAACTGCGACCTCCTCGTTACTGAGCCTCAGTCTGTTGTTAGCGCTGAAGATGACACATCGTTGTCGTAACACGTGTACGCAAGAAGTGTATAATTTTTATGGTTTAGGGTTCAAGTAGATTTTATATCTTTACTACAATATGCTTAAAATTTGTTTTAACTAAAGTTCAATTATAGTTATAGGTAAGTTCATGTCATACCGATAAAAATAATTTAAACTACAAAATCTTTGAAACCTAATTAGATTTTTGGGCAATAAAATAGATAAGTCAATATTTTTTTATGTTACAATTATTTGATGTCACTATTTTTTTTAAACTTTTACGACTCACAAAAGCTTAGTAAGTTCATAAAATGGTAGCAGTACTGGTGTCTATGGTAAATAGTAGATGTTAGTATGTAAGCTTATAAATTTATAATACTTGTTATGTGATAATACACTTTTAAGTTGTGTCATATGGCAGTGGTTAGCCATAATCATAAAAAAATCTCGACCGCAGGGCTATTCACTATACCGGGTGATTGGTTAACTATGGACCACTCAATACCTTAGAAGATATTAGACTTTTTTAATTTTTTTTTTTTTGTACTATTATAGTTAATAGGTGAGACAAATTTAATGTATTTTTCAAAATTTTAACACCATCCCTTATGCGTTAAAACCATATCAACTTTAGATTTTTAAATGGTAACCCCCAATTTTTTTTTGATGATCGTGTTGATTTTTTTTAAATTTAATTTTAGGCGTAAAAACTAGCTAAATCAGACAAGTACTTTTAAAGTTATAGCTTAGTACTACAATATTATAATATTAGCTTATATGAGATGCTTTTATAAGTTTTACAACTAAAGAAAAAAATCGTTTATCGCCGGATCTCACGTTTCACAAAATAAGATTGATTAACGATACGGTTGTAGATTAAAGTTAATAGTTGACGGTCGTCGGTCACAATGAAAACGAACTAATAATAAATCTATAATAATATTATATGGGTAATGTCTTCTTATCTGTTTTTTCTGTAGTGTTCCTAGCGGTGCGGTGTACCTGTACGTATTGAATATTAGGCATTAGCTGCTGTTAACAAACAATATTATAAGCCCTAGTAAATAGTTTTTTTTTTCAATTTCAACCATAGGCTACCGTGGTCTAATCACGGTCTTATATAGAGTATATACCGTAGTTCTACCAAAACGATTCGTTACTAGCGTAGATTAATATCAACACAGAACAAATTATTATAAAAATACGACTACTTGAAAACTAATCAAAAAGTTCATTTTTCTAATTTTTCAATTATTATAGTTATTTAGCGTCTTGGTTTTTACTTTAAATATTTAGCGTCTTGGTCTTAATAAGTATTACTTGTACTGGTGTCTTAACTAGTCAAATTATTAATTCTGTTAGTGAAAATATTTTTAAAAAAACTTTAATAAATAACATTCAATTTTTTGTTTTTTTAGTATAATATTGTATTACATACAGTTAATAGATAATATGTACAGAATATATACAGAAATAAACAAAAACTAAACTTAATATGTACAAAAACTATTTTAGCATTTGTTCGAACTGGTTTATGATAGGTACATAAGATGTCAAACAACATATTTATAAGGCATCTATTGTGTTTATTAAAATGTTTAGATAACAAAGGATTCCATAAGAACTACGTTCATCCAATACTTGTGCACTAAAATAAATTTTCATTTTTATAATTTAAAGTTGTAACGCGTCAATTTTAACTATTTCTAGTTCAGTATTTTTAATTATTTAAAGCTGTATTTATTTATTAACTCTTTATTATATTACCACCTTAAGCCTATACTGTATATATTTCATAGTATTGACTATTCTTACTTATTTTAATGTGTTCATATGAACAGTAAAAGTATGTTTCTTATTTAATAAATGGTTGTTTTTCTCGTTGTACGAGGTATAAGCAAAAATTTAGAGTGACAATGATAAAGTACAATTTTTTTTGTTTTTGTACAGCTTTTTTAACAGTCATAAGCTTAAAATTCAATAATAATATTACTAACAAACATTTAAATACTATATTATGTTATGTTTATTATGATAATAGTAAAATAAAAAAACAAGTAACAAGATAAATAATATGCTTATAAGATACGAATAAACATTTTTATTTGCTAAATCATATTAAAAAATTAAGACTAAATAAAATTAACATATCTATAATTAACTTGTAAATAATAGAGGTACAACATATTGCTGTATATAGTGATGTATTTATAGGAAGTTACCTAGGGCGGTAAAGTTTGTTTGATGATTTCCCACTAGAAGAAATCCATCTCCATTTACATATTTAAGTTAAAAAATATTTATAAGTATATTCATTCAATTTACTTTTTTACACTTAATCCAATAGTTAACATTTTTTTTCTTCTATTTTGTGTTTTATAATTTTATTTACTTTATTACTTATAAAAACTTAATCGTAAACCACTAGAAAATTGTCAATAAATTCTGTAATAGCTAATGCCAAAACTATGCCATCATGAAAATAATTTCAAGATTTGGATTAAGACAATAACATATTTCAGAAATATTAACATTCTCAGCGGCATTTTAGATTAAATTAATATTAAATAAAGAATTAATCATTAATAATTAATAAATAATGTATTATAATTATAGATATGTTAAGTATACGTGTGTTTAAATACTTAGAGTTTAAAAACTTTATGTCACTTTTAACATGATAAAGTACTTTTAAATTATTTTATTGAATTACATTTTTAGCTGAATAACTAAATATATATAGTTGTCTAATATTTGATTTGAACTTGTGAACCCAACTTATTCTTCTTACTGACTTAATGGAAAACCGTTATCTGCAATAGTGTGCCACAGTAACTAAAAAATTAATAATAATAATAATAAATTGTTAGTGATGAATTCATAGAAATTAACTAAATTATTGCAAACTGATGATCTTATATATTTTACCTTAAAATAAAACACCTATAAATTTACTGAAAATTGAATACCACAACATTCGACAATGTATTGATGGAATTGGTTTAGACTGATTGACTACAATAATATAATACACCAAATTTGACGTTGGTAGTAGTGTAGTTGTAGACAATAACAAATATCAATGTAAGTTGAGATAGTCCATATTAATATTGAACATACTGAAACATTTAATTTAAAAAATTAAATAAGTTTCTTAGATACTTAAATAATTATATGGTTAAGCAACAAATATCAGTATACACATATATTTTTTATAATTATACAAGTATGATAATTTTTAAGTTATACGTTAATTTTTAAGTAACGCATTTTAATAAAACATATTAAGTATGATAAACATAAGTAATCCAAAAAAACTTATTATGTAAAAACATTTTATATGTTCATGAATAATAAAAAAACGATTAATTATATTTTTCTAATAAAAAAATGTACTTTTACAATACACCTATATCAATAAATACATTATCTTACCTATTATTGATTCAGTAAACGATGATTGAAGATTCAATTTTTTCATAAAAAATTTTATATTTTTTCTTTGAATTCAGATACCAATATAGTAAAACACAAAACTACACATTTATAAGTTTCTCAGAACAAAGACATAATACTGTAAAAATAAAAGTTTTAATTAAATATCATGAAGCATAATTCAAATTACTCTATTTATTTTAAATAATATATTATTATAAGTACCTTTAATTTTGACATTTGATGTGCATACATTTTATAAGTAAGGTTTTAGGTTTTATAGATTTGTCACTTGAGCAAAACTCCATCTCGGTATTCACATTGATTATGGATATTTAATATCAATGTTATTATTTAAAACACAATAAATGTTGACAAGTTCATAGATCTAGTAAGTTATGATAGTATATTATTATAATATACTAAGAAATTAAGACGTACAAATCGCATGAATAAACAAAATGTGTCAAATTAACCAAAACGAATAATTGCTAAATGCTGGAAAAATATTCACAAGGTATTGATAACAAATTAAACATACCTACTATTTTACAAAATAAATGTAAAAGTGTGTAGTGGTGGTATATTTGTCAGTCGATATAGCGGTTATCATTATTATTTACTATCGGTGAATTATTTACCTAAAGTAAATAGTGTTTGGTACGGTTATGATTTTTAAACGCTACTATTGCTATTGTCAAAGTTAATTGTCAATAAATAATAACAGAGAGCAGTCAAGTGTCACCATAATATGTTAGCATCTCCAAGATATTTAATTTATTTTTTACACTCCCTTTAATTTTAAAACTGTGTAGCTCGTTAACTACTCAATCGATTTACCTAGTTTTTACGCCTAAAATTAAATTTAAAAAAAATAAACAGGATCATCAAAAAAAAATTGGGGGTTACCATTTAAAAATCCAAAGTTGATATGGTTTTAACGCATAAGGGATGGTGTTAAAATTTTGAAATATATATAAAATTTGTCCCAACTAATTACTATAAAAGTATAAAAAAAAAAAAATTAAAAAAGTCTAATATCTTCTAAGATATTGAGTGGTCCATAGTTAACCAATCACCCGGTACATATTTGCCGTTAGTGGCGTGTCGTGTTTTCTTTTTCCTTTCTATCGCCTTACCCCTTTATTGTACAACTACTAATGCGGTTTCAAATCGCCCATCATAACATTATATTTCTCTCGCCATATTCCACAGCAAGCAGTTTAACCACAAGGGAAATTCGCATCAGTAGCTAATAGTTAGGTGACCACAAAATAACCTGAAATCAATGGTTTAAACGGAGTATATCGACAAATATAACATGAGTGTGCTGTTTTTCTCATTTAATACATATAAGTTTTTACAGTTCTCCTCGCTTACATTAGTCTCTCACGAGTTAAAGTAATATTACAAACAATAATGGTTTTTCCCATGTGTTCAACCACAAAAATAATCTATAAAATAAATACCTATATACATATATTTATATAATATATCACTCTTATAATCTTTCTTAATTTATTTGACTCTGTTTCGCATATACACATTTTCTCCTGAATTTAATCGATGTAATATAGATATGTTAATTAATATATATATTATGGACCCACATCAATTTTGTTTTATCGTGTCACAACATATTATCCAGTAGGAGCCATAATATAATTATATAATGTGTTAAAACCCATGCATATTATTAAAAACCGCGTAGTTGGGCCACGCCGTGACTATTATTTTTATTTTAACAGTATACAAAATCACTACTATCAGTTATGTATACACACAATACCAAAAAAACACTATTCCCAAACAGAAGTTTAAAAACAAATTTCCAGAGAATATTAATTTCTTCTTTGAGGAAGCAAAATAAACATACATTTTTTGCAAATCCTTAAATAAATATTATAAATTTAATATTTTCTACCAAACGTTAAAAAAATGTTGACTTTTTTGCTGTATGGTTACATAAAGATTTATAACAGTATAATTGTTTAAAATATGTATAAGTACTTAAAACAAGTTATATTGTGCTGGCGATTTTTTTAATTAAAATTAAATAGGTATTTGTACGCATCTTGTCTTTGACCGACGAGTCTGGTCAACTCAATTTAGACAGCCGAAAAGTTAAAAGAAAAGAACACACTTTCCCATAATTGTATCGAAATCTATTTTCTTGACATTTGAATTACTCAGATGTCAAGCAAACTGATGTTTTGAATAAGATTATACATTTTGTATCGTCACTATAATTTTTGTTTTAAGTATAGGTAATATTATTAACCAAATTACTTTATAAAGTTATAATCTAAAATCTAAAGCTAGTCTTGGTATATAATGTTTCAGGCGTATGACACTTACTGGATTAATTTTCGAAAATATCCTGTAATATACGGAAGAACAACAGGTAACAATTTCTTAATTAATTTTAATGAGTTTTGATTTTTAGTAAACTTAAAAACTATTTGATTCAAATTTTAAATTATTTGCATTTGTTCCGGTAAAATAAAATTAATGTTAAGAAAAAAATATATAAACACATCATATTTATTACAACAAAATTGAATACTAATTAGTAAAACTGATATTATACATTTATACAGTACGATAACTAACTAAAGTTAACCATTAAAAATCAGTCATGTCACATGGGTAAATTAGTTTTACACTTACATAATACACTGCGCTATCTATGTGATTCACAAGGAACTAAAAATGTATTCAAGTTACAAAACAAGAGTGCGTCATGTTTTGCTATTAAGATTTATATTAAGAGGACGTCACACACCCGTTATTTTCTTCAAAAAAACCGCCTTGCGCGGATTAATTTTACAAAGGCTACAATCAAAACTAAGAAACCAAATTTTTACAAAATATAGACAACAGCATTGTCTGTGTTCTACCATCGCCTTCTTTTTAATATTTCAACCAGTTAATGAATAATTAATTAACTAAGAAAGGACTTTTTAGACTTTTTTTAAAATTATATAACGTTGATTGTATTAGGTATATCGAAAAAATACGGATGATGGAACACAGATAATTTTGTCATAAATATTATGTATGAATTTCTTTCCTTAACTTTATATGAAGCCTGAGAAAAATTAATTCGCGCAAAGCAGTTTTAAAGGGAAAAAATTGTAATTTATCCTATAGAAATGACTGTATGATAGTCTGACAAAAAGAATGGCAATCAACAAAGTATCCTCATTACTGTATTAATAAGTATGCATTATAGTTCAAACTCTATATTAAAATTTTCGAAAAATTGCCTATACTTTACTCCTTAGAAATGGCCGGTGTGGCGTCCTCTTAATAATATGACTGTAAAGTATAAACTATAAGAGAGGCATCTGTTCTAATAATTACGTTTCAAATTAAATGATTTTATTTCTACAGAATAGTTAGAAAAGTAATTATTAGTAGCAACTAGCATCTTCACGACACTGTTCCAAAACATATCCATTATTGTAAAACTGTAAAATATAATACGATAATTTACAACTGAAGATTATTAATCCCTATAGATATTATTTTTGAACAAAATTATATTTCTACATTTAATTTTTACATTCGATAATACTGCGATTAGAGTAACATTAAATTGTAAATCTAAACAAACTGTACTGTAATAAATAGGCTTTTTGCTTTGGTGTTTAAATTCTTTGAATTTGTTTAAAACCTTTATAAAAATAGTTTAGAAGAAAATGTACAAATTGATCGACAAATTGTAGTAGTCTAAAAAGTTTTGCTGCACAATGCCTACTGGTTAATCCGGTCCTGGTGATTATTTATCAACCTGTGTAGTGACATAAGGCATAGAGCTTGTAATAACATGTAAATATGGGGTTCGACTTTAATAGTAACGTACATATTATACATATTTATAAAACTTTTTAAATTTATAATAATTTTTTAAAGTTTAACTTTTAAGATGAGCGGGTGGGTGGAGTTATTTTTTCCGCGTGAGTTATTCAAACACATTTTACGTCCCGTCCTAAACTTTAAATTTTAATAACTTTGAAAATAATAATTACCCACAACATTTCTGGAAAGGGTTTTTATCTGGTTCCATTTTAGCTTCAAAAGTTCATAGAACTGAAATTAACCCGAAAATTTTAATACTGTTTAATACTGTAAAATAACGATATCTAAAAGTCTTCAAAGAAAATCTACAAAACTGTAATTATTTTTAGAAAAAATAGTGTCTTGCGATAAATGGCGTACCATGAATATTATATTTTTTTAGATATTTATGTTACTACTTACTAATATTTGATTACCTAATGAACCATGATTTTAGTTTTTGTGGTATTAAAACATTGTATAACCCGTCCAGTTCATCTGAACACTCCTAGACGTCATTTGTCTGAACAAATCAGGGGTACCAGGTGTCTAGATGAACTGGACGGGTTATAAAAATTATTATTTTTTAAAAGAAACAGAAATCGTTAAATAGCACAAACCACCGTGGCCGTGGTCGCAATATAACTAATAAATTTGGTCGTGTAAAAAACAAAACAGTGGTCTTACTCTCAAAAGTAAATCATCCCTACGACCCTATGTGTACTGTGAACGTTACCAAATTATGTAGATAATAACTGTCAATGAAAATAATGCAAACACAATATTGTACGGATCCATCAGCAAACAATTAAAAGTTGACTCTTTAAAACACTTAATAATGACCATAATGACAGTTAACAGCTGCTGCTGTCAGGGGTGGACCTATTCAGGGTCGCTAACGATAAACTACACACCCTTTTGCTCCTATGTAAACGTGCTGACATTTATTTAAGAAAAAAGGATTTCGTCACCTCACAACTCTGAGCACACTGCACACGTGACTTTTTTACAACTCCTAAATATAAAAATATAATTTTAATATCTCAAAGTGAATTTCTTGTTGATATTTGATTTTCCTTAACTAAAGATTTCGCTAATATAAAGAATTATTAGAACCACTTTTATACCAAAGCCCATAGTAAAATTGATTCAAGAAGAAATAATTTAAATTAAGGTTTTCCAAATCCTAAGTATATATCTATACCTTATATAATATACCTATATCTTAAAAAAAAACAAAATGTATAAACCATTTTACTCTAAACTAGATATTATAACTACATTAGATAGATTTTTTTTTATTACTTTAATTAATTTGATTACAAAATTATAAGATATAAAATTCGCCATTTAGCATAACATCTAAAAATTATAATTAACCTTAATGATTTTTAATAATGATACATAAAATCTTCTTTACTCAAAACCTAAAGGTGCATCCGAAGATAAAGTGTAATACAATGTGTTTTCTATGACAATGGATAACAATTTCGAAGACTAGTAATAATTTCAGCTCCCCATTTGACCCTAAGCGAATCATGACTCATTTCCGGAAACGTTTAACGGCAACAATATAATTTCACAAGCCGGGAAAATTGCCGTAATATTATTTGCCCTCTTTGAAGACCGCAGC